ATGCAGGTGATTATTTTTTGCTTTACTGACCATGTGACCATGTGCTTGTTCTTCATCAGTGACTTAGAAAGCGAGTATGAAAATCACAGCCCTCAGCTTGCACCTTCAAAAATAAGTTAGCGCTCCCCCACATTGGTTCCATATTTCCTGAATGTGATCAGAATATTCATGAATGTGTGCGTGAGTCTTTCAAAGTGAACCTACACCCTGTCACTATACTCTCATATAAACTCTGTTTCAATGTTATTGTAATTTCCAAAGTTGTTTTCAATCTTCTTAAATCTGCAGCTTTCATTAAAGCAATACTTAGTGATCTGCCATAAACCTCCTTGTTGAGGCACTTCTTTTTATTCGTGACAACGGTCTCCCAGTTGTTCCTCTCTGTTGTCACTCTGTCACAGGCATCCCTGTTGGAGTCTACAAGCGGCTGTGCTGACACACATTGCATGGCCATGGTGCACACTTTTCACTATTAGGAAGTTGGTCCAGAGCAGTTATACGTGGCCAATGCTGCAGAAAGTGCATGTAGACAGGAAGTGGCTGAAAGAAGCTAAAGAAGATCAGCAACATTTCATAGGGAAAAGAGTCATCGCAGCTGTTTATGATACACTGTGATAAATGTTATCCAGTTAGGAATTAAAGCTGATCTCCAGGATAAGCAAATATTGTCCTCGTACAAGAGTCCTGTGTATTCTTCTTGAATCTTGGTGAGCTTTGTGTATTTCTTCCAGCTCTGTGCAGTAATCAAGTGTGAGACTTGGAGCTTCCTGTAATAAAGACCGCTCACTGCTGCTCTCTCTCCTTGTGCAGGGTGACTGGTCTTGTCTCCGCCCCCTCCTGTAATAAAGACCGGTCACTGCTCCTCTCTCCTTGTGCAGGGTGACTGGTCTTGTCTCCGCCCCCTCCTGTAATAAAGTCCGCTGACTGCTGGTTTCTCTTCTTGTGCAGGGTGACTGGTCTTGTCTCCGCCCCCTCCTGTAATATAGACCGGTCACTGCTGCTCTCTCTCCTTGTGCCGGGTGATTAGTATTGTCTCTGCCCCCTCCTGTAATAAAGACCCCTCACTGCTCCTCTCTTCTTGTGCAGGGTGACTGGTCTTGTCTCTGCGCCCGCTATAGTTTCTTAAAGTGGGTGGGGCCTGCTTCGTCCCTCCCACAGCTCTGCTCTCTGCGCAGGCAATGTACAGCACAGTGATGATGTCACTGCTACTTTTACAATCTGTTATGCGGCTTTGTAAAAGCATTTAGTGCGCACACAATGGATTTATATAATTTGTGGCTATTGAGGAATAGATTTCAATGAAAGTTTTTGAACCCGGAGTTCAGCTCTAAATCCAGTGAAGAAATCGTTACAAATAGTCCATAGTACATGAACAGTATATCCGCCTCTGCCAGCAGCATCGGCCGGGGCTCTGAGCCGTGCCCACGAGACGTCTCTCTTGTTTTTTTGGAATGACTTAGCTTGCAGTTCTGCGTGGCGCGGCCCCTCTACGAGAGAGCCAGTGATATTTTTAGAAACAATTATCCTTTTATGGCTCGTTCTCGGCTAATGTCAAGCGAAGTTCCGGTGGTTGAGTTAGGCCCTCCGATCTAAGGCTTTAATGATCTCGGGGGAGTTCTTTAGGGCTGTAAAATCCGGGATTTGTTTTTAAATGAAATGTGTAATCTTGGGACCGTGTTTGGCAGGAGAATGTCATTGTTTCAACTTAAGTGTTTTCCTGTTATATCTTCATTTTCCACTTTATGTTTCGGCATACGGTCCATTTCCCTCCGTCTGCGTATAAATAAAATCCTGCACGCTCATGAGCTCACAATGAAAAAAAATAATAATTTACAAGTGAAAGTTGGGTTTAAAAGAAGGTTTGAGGTCAGAGATCGGTCATATCCAAAAAAAAAAGGCCATTGCTGTTCTTTTTTTTATTTTGTGCAGTTGCCGTACTATATTCCACTGGCAAAACTTTTATGTCATAGGGTGGTATTGGTGCCAAGACCAAGACTACATTTTTTTAAAATGATGGTTGCCTGCT